AGCTGGAGTATGTCGTTGTTTTATTAAGAAAAAAATGACCAGCAAAAGAAACACAACCTCTCCTTTCCAAAAAAAAAAAAAAAATCTGCCCATGACGCAGAGCACTTGAGTATGCACCAAAGCACTGAGGGAGAGGAGGAGACGAGAGGGGACATCAGAAGACAGAGCTTTCGTTGGAATGACTAATGGGTAGACCTAAATCTAGTATACCGCTAGCAGTTCAAGACGAGGAAAAGGTGGAACTCCCCTCTTGCTCATAGTGCACGGAACCTTATTTTTGTACCCGCACGTCACCATTATTCCCCTAGAAAATTAGCCCTCGATGCTTGTCATTCAATATTCGGACGAAAGTTGCTAACCCCCGGCCTGTGGCTTCCGCAGTACGACGCACAACTATCCTCCGTGCACCCCTAAGCAGACAGCGCTGTGGAAACTATGTGCTCTTTGGGCCAGTCGCACTTGTACCTTTTGCCACATGATCACGCTCTCTCGCGTATAGCCACATTCGCGGAATGGGGTTAGGTGATGGACAGGGGGGCGGGCAAGATTTGTCAACTGACGTCCCAACTTTTCACCCCCGCACGGATGGAGACAGTGATCTCGCGGTAGCTGACGTTTGTTCTAAACCTTTCTTTGTCCACTAATGTATTTCAACGTCTGTGCGGCAACAAAATGACTGAAAACCTGCAAATAAAGCACAGGTATCAGTTGCTTGCTTCACAGAATAAATAGCACAGCTCGCGTCCGATTTTGTCGCCTGTGGAACGTGTTTTTTTTTTTTTCGGTTATCCTGCCTCTTATGACGGAAAAACCCCATTTGCCTGCTCTCGTTCCTCTCCTGAGTGATGGATGATGGGAGTTCATTGTGATGCACACTTGATTCTCAAGGTGCAGCGAGTGCATGAACGCGTGGGGTGACAACGCCGAAATGAACTCGTGGAGCGTCGGCTGAAACAAACTCGCTCCACGTTGTAAGGAGGTACGGATGGGCACGAGTGCTTATGTGTACATGTAGTCGTACACAGGGGACGAGCATGCGGCTTCGTCTTGCATCTTGTTCTCGTGCAGAGGTTGCTTCAACAGCATTGCAGGAATTACACTTGCCCTGACAATGAAATACAAAAAGGTTTGTGCCGAGTTTAGACACTGCGGCAAGATCACCGAGCCAGATGTGGCTCCTCGAGAGACTTGGGGCGAGGGGCTCGCTCCTTCCACTTAGGAGGAGACCGGGTAATCAGGGCAGGCATGTCGTTTGACAGCCTGTCCCTCTGAGTGTGAGGGGCACCACTGCCACCTCCCTGAGGTGGAAGTGGTGCCCCTCCCACTCATGTGGAAGGCACGCCGCCACCTCTGGTTTCTAGGTAGGTAGGAGCTGAGCGACGGCCTCCCGAAATCCCAGCCTTGAAGGGTCGAGGCTCGGAAGGTGGTGCAAGCTTCCTACGCACCACCTCGAGGAAGCCCCCCTTTGCCAAGAAGGCATAGCGCTTCTTGGCCTCAGGGTAAGACAGGTTGTCCTTGGCTCTCAACGAAAGGATCTCTTTTTCCTGCTTCCATATGGGGGATGCGCGCGCGTAGGCGGGATGTGCACCATTGCAGTTAGCACACTTCACTTCACCCTCGCAGATGTCAGCAACGTGGTTAGTGCTTCCACCCTTTGCGCAGATATTCTTGCCTCGACAGCTCCGAGCGCCATGACCGAACCGCGGGCACCGAAAACACCGCAGGGGATTCGGTACGTACGGTCGGACACGGCTGTGGAGGTATCCCGCCTTCACGAATGCTGGGAGAGTGTGTCTTTCGAACGTGAGAATAACATGCTTGCTTGGAGTTTCCACACCATCTCGTTTGAAAATGATCCGCTTTACAGCAACGACACCCGATGGTTGGAGGCCTTCGAGAATTTCCTCTTCACTAGAGGGTAGGAGGTAGTCCTCGGAGAGCACCGCTCAAATGGTATTCAGTGTGCGGTGTGGGGCAGCTGTTACTTGGACATCTGCGATGCGGGACAGTTTCTGGAGCGCCATGCTTTGATCTTTAGTGTTCAATTCGACGAGGAGATCACTGGAGTGCATCTTCTTTGCTTTGTAATTATAACCAATCAAATCCTCAAGAACTTTTGCCACAACGAAAGGAGACATTTTTCCCACGGGGCGCTGTTCATCTTCAGAATGAATAACAAAGAATCTTGGGTAGGTTGCAGGTTCAGCATCTATTACTTTGGTTAGTTCAGGACAAGGCCGTTTGGACGCTTGTCCTGAAGAGGTTTTGGTAGAGGACGCCACAGAAGGCAGAGAAAATTCAGCACCCGTGGCGTACCGCCCACACTCTAAAAAAAAAGGGTATCACCATACACCCTTTTGTCCCATATAATACACCCCAAAACTTTATTTCGACGTACAGCGCCCTAAAATCGAACAGGCGGCCCCAAATTTTACGAGGGGCTTGACAACGGTGCGGTATAACTTATTAAATTGCTAAAGTACGTATCAAAGACCAAAGAAAGAAAACACGGAGCGTTTTCAGTAGGGCCAAGAAAACTCCGAAAATCTTTTTTGTGGTCAATAATACGTACATCAGCTATCTTAATAAGTTGTACAACACGGCTATCAAGCCCCTCGTAAAATTTGGGGCCGCCTGTTCGATTATAGCGCGCTCTACGTCGAATTGAAGTTCTGGGGTGTATTATATGGGACAAAGGGTGTAATAAGACACTCTTTTTTCTGAGAGTGCACCACGAAGCCCAACAAGGGGACAGGCAGCACCTCACAAGAGTTAGGGCTTGTCTTAGTATGTTGCTCTGCCAGTAATATCAAGGCGCTATAACCAAGTGTGCTTTAAGACAAGAAAATCTATTGCCACTCAAGGTTAGCACTTGCCGCCAAAGGAGGTGAAAAGGAAGGAAGAGAAATGAGACGAGTAAAAAGGAGAAGACAAGGCTGAAAGAAAGGAGGGGATAGTAGAAAAAGTGGCGACTGACTGAACCGTCCTGGTCGGGCCAAGCCAGGACACCCGTCTACGGGAAGCGGGGGCCGAAGTGGTGTATTGCCTCACGCGGGGGACCCCGAAGGGTCCAAACCTACCCCAAGCTCGACTCAACCACGAGGATGCTCTTTTCTCCGGACACGGGAAAGCCACGCACAGCCAGACGTGGGCGGGCTGTGCGTATGGCTCGGGGTCAGTGGAGACGCCACTCTCCAAACACATGCTTTCACAGGTGCCCCTGCGGGAAATTTCGACAATAGAAAATTGATCAAATCGTTCCGATCACTCCGACAACGATACCCGATACTCCGCCGCCGCCTTGCGCATGCATCCTATCTTTATCAGATATCGTTATCAGTGCTACCGGAGGTATTGGAACGAGCTACTAAAACTCTCAAATAACAGGCAGCGGCTGCAACGACAAAGCCTTGCTCTTTTTCCGAGGTAAATAGTACTTCCAATGCTTCGCTGAAAAAGCTCATTGCAGAGCATGAAGCATTCGTGAGGCACAATATGGCACTCCCATCCAGTGCCTAAGCTCAAAGGCTGTTCAAAGGGTGTTCGACATCTTTAGTAAAAAATGACCCAAAAATTCTGACGAAACTTTCAAGAGCCAGCTGCTGCTCAAAATACTCAAGGTCAATAAATGAAATATGCTGACACCATAAGAACTTGAATAACCCTCTTCCCTGTTTTTCTTACTTGAGGGAAATAATGTCGGAGGTAACTCCACGAAAGTAACAGATTACATCTCTGGGTAACTGTCCCTTAATTACTTTCATAGGAGGGTAATTGTTATTGTAATGGTTTGCAATTTAGCCTTGAGTAATTGTAAATGTATTTCCCTACGATTTTTCAATAACGTGTAAAAGTTTGATTGCAGGGGTGGGTTCCGTTACTTCCGGGTGGAGCCCCTAGGCGGGGCCGGATACGTGGCGGCCACTGAGTTGGTCCACCAGCCATCGCTGGCCGGTGACCGTGTCAACGGTGACAGGCGATTTTTCTCACCAAGAGAAGCTAATATCTTGCGAAAGTTGGTTCCGTCCCGTTGTGTGCACGTTTTGCTATCTTTTATAAAAATGTAATTGAAAACAAAGCATAGTCACGAAAACCCCATGACTGTCTTTATCTGGAAACACCGAGCGGATCAAATTTGATGAATAACAAATGGTTTCGATAATTACCAAGTTTCCCAACAACAGTATAGACAAAGACACAAGCCTTGACTGGCTTTCTCTTGAACAGTTGCGCTGTTTTCTGTTTTCTTTTTAATATGGTAATATATGATCTGGATTCCGTACTTTGATCTTAGTTAGTTATTGATCTTAGTTTTATAACTGTTTTATCTTAGTTATTGATCTTAGTTTTATAACTGTAGTAATACACGTTTATGTGCGTGTCTATTGTGTGCTGCTTGAACAACACAATAGGCAATTGAGTTTTCACACTGCCGATAAGGCTCAGGTCTCAAGTTTCGTACAGAAGCATTTTTTTCCCGGCCGCTCCACCATTTCTTAAAAATTAAAAAACAGAAACATTATTATTTTTAATGTCTAGCCCAATGAATAATATATCCGAGTTCAAGGAATGTATCTCCAAGTCAAAAAACATTAGTACAGGCAAAATCTACTCGAGGTCGTCGACAAAATAAGCTCGGGTAGGGCGGGTGTCAGTGCGCCGAACATCCTTCAAAAAGGGTGTTTCTCTCGGTTTACCGTCCTTCTCCACACCCCTTTTACAGCCTTCAAGAATAAAGGGTGTTTAATTCAAAAACACCCTATTTTATTGTTGAAAATCATCTATTAGGTCAAAATAAGGGTTATGAAAAAGTGAAAGCCAGCGTGTAAGGCTCTGGAAGTGCGTTTTTACGGCTGTGCATTTTTTCGCTTTCTGCTTTTCATTTCGTATGCCATCATCAATAAATAGTACAAAAATCTCTGCACGGTGAAAACAGCTCTAAAAATACTGTAAATATGGTGTCTTAATGCTTTAGTCATATTTCCAAATATCCATAATACTTATCCCCCTAAATTTCTCGCTAATCATGGCCTGCATTTTATTCCGGCTTTGATCCGAAAAGTATGCTTTCCAGCCTCCGACACCTCCTATGCGCACAAGGTTTGCCACTTTAATGTCGTCGTTTGTCCCTTCTTGACTAACACATTGAGTTGAATTTATTGAGCTCGTTGTCTGGCTAAACACTTCCATTAGATCTCTATAACTGCTCGGAATTAACTCTTTCATGAAAGGCAATTCGCTCTTCTCAACAACCTGCGCAAGTGCTGCCCGGTCGTCTTTTAACGCTGCACCGTAAGCGTCACCCAAAAAGTTGGCCAACCTCAAAATAACGTCGGTCTTGTTCTTTTGAATCTCTTCGTACGTCAGAAACAAAACGTTCAGGCAATCTTTGCGGGCGTAGCCCGAGAGTACGTGGTCAAAATAGTCGCCAAAGCCGGCCCGTCCATGAAGGAATGCGTCCAGGAAGTCTTCGAATTTTCCCTTCCCAAAATCGAACACGGGAAAATCCGTGGTCAGGTGAAAGTTGGAAACGCAGCAATCCCAGGGATTCCTGGCAACGTACACGCACTTCGCTTCGTCGCTGAATTGCATTCTGTTCATCGGAAGGTGCGTTCGCAGGAGTCTCGTTCGAGTCACCGTCTCTCGGGAGTTTAGCTCGAGAATCGGGGCCGACTGGGAGAATTCGGCAAACGTCTTTGCCGACTGACCTCCGTTCACAATGAGCTGAATCAGTTGTTGCACCAAGTGCGTTCCACTTCTGGGATAGGTAACCTGCGTGCACAAAAGGAGACACGGTTGATTACAGTCATCTACGGAATGAAAACGGCACGGCGTTTCTTTGGCGGTGCCCGGGCTATGGGGAGCGCAAATTCGTCTGCTTGTCGCGCAGGGGTTGCGGTAACTTCAGAACACTGAGCTGTGATTGGATCCCATTGCGACAATTGTGGGTAGACCTGAAGGCAGTCAGCATTGAGATCTGCCCGCTATCCCTCCAGTCGGAGCCCATTAGAACTAAGCGTTCTGACGTCACTGCAACCCCTGCGCGAGAAGCAGACGAACTTGCGCTCCGTATACAGCCGAAACCACCTAGAACGCAAAGCCGGCGCTTTCCTTCCCCCCCCCCCCTCACACACACACACACGTTACCACTAGTGGATTAAAGCGGGGTCGCCTTATACGCGCGTTAGCGCCGACGCCAACGCGTCGTGCAGCGCGTCTCACTACGAGCGCGACGCTGGCATGGGGTGACGCCAAGAAGGAGGCGTCTGCCGCTTTGCGGCGTGTCTCGGCGAGCTTTGGCGTGTTGGCCGCTCGGGACGCGTCGGGGATCCAATAAGAACGTCTTCGTGCTTAGGTCTTATTTTCTAGGTGATGTCGCGTGCACTCGTTCATCAGGCATTCCTGCAATTCTTGTTGCGGTAATGTCCAAATATTAAAGAAACAAGGGGGTTACTATTGGCGGCTGATTAAAGACGACACATATGATCACAAAATAGATTTTAGTGATTCGTTTTCTTTTTTCCTTTAAGGTTTGTTCGAATGATTTCTCATACTATTTTTTTTGTGCAACTTGTAAGCCGATGGAAAATATTAGTTACTAATGTAGTATTAAATCGTACATAACCTCTTATGCAGTATTTTAATGCCTCTTTATTGCCTTGGCAAGAACAGCTTGTTAAAGAAAACGTTTATTTTACGTAATAAAATGTTATCAAGGTGTAGTTTTTTGTGCCAACTACATGTGCTTTGGCTAGATGCAATAAATCCAGGAACCCCAAACAATAGGTGACAGACGCAGTGGTCCACTCATGAATACATTTGTTCATAATATGCAAAGCTTACTAACTGTGGCTACTGTATTGAGGAGACTGCACCGGCCGAATATAAGAAAAGTTATATGCAGCCTCCGATAAAAAGTAAAAAAAAAAAAAAAAAAGAAATCCACGTTTATTACCGAATACTCGATGCAACCAATTTCTCCTTGTTTCACGGTATTTAAGCTCATTGGAAGTCTTTTTGTGACATGTTTGTTTTAAAAAACACTAATTTCTCTGTCTAACATATTCTGACCAAGAATGAGGCACGTAAAAAAGGGGAGAAACAGAAAACATAACTTGTACCCGCACCAGCCTGTATTCGTTCTCAGGATTTCTGCTCGTTATGTCGGTGATGGTACTTTTCTAGAAGAGCGACCCGAAAGAGAAACTGAGCTGGTTTAAATCGAAAAGGATCAACCTCACTCACCTCTATAATATGTCTCTCAGTAGGCACGAATTTCATGGCTTGCCGGTAGAGATTCCGATCATAATACTTGGGGCAGGCATCTCCGTCGATTATCATGGTCGCAGGAACAAGTTTGAAATTATCCATAGTTGAACAAAGTGATTATCTGAAACTTTGAATGTAATCAAGGTTTTGATGCACAGTGAACGTTCACTGGACGTCAGCCAGACATTCGGCTGTGCTAAAAAACAACACTACACTTCGTTTCTAAGTCCAGACGCAGCCGACGCTTCGAGTTGAAGGGACCAATCAAGTAGCGTTAAAATCGCAGGTTACTAGGCATTTTTTTGGTGTTTATGAGCGTTTTGCGGTGATAGAACACGTGCAGAAACATGAGGAACACCATGGTGGTGCACCTTTTGATGCTGTCTGATTGGGCCCATCACCTCGTAGTGTGGACTTCGTCTGGGCTGAAAGGGGCCCTGGAACGACTTTTTGACTGTTTTTATTTTAATTTGCACCGAACCTAAGGGCGCTGAACGTATGACTTAGTGAAACTTTGCGTCCCTCAAATTTGGCTTTGTTTTAAAAGTTATAGGCAAATTAAAATTACAAAAACCATTCAAAAAATATCCTTCATCGTGACGTCCCTTGTCCTGGCTTGGGTGGCTGTGAACTAATGGAGGGGTAGTGAGCTCAACTAGCGCTCGCGGCTGCCGCACTCCGTGTCGACGATTCAAGAGGGTGCCACTTATGCATGGGCTGGATAAGATAGATGAAGCGGGCGGCCAGGGTGGCTCACATTGCATATGCAGCGCGACTAAAGACTGTTTCTTGAAGCTTTTTGGCTCGAAATGCTTGCCGTTCGAGTCCGAACCTCCGAACCCCACCAAATAAATTCGCGACACGCGATGTGACGCAATTCGTCTGTTCGCTTTGCACGTGGTTCGCAGCACAAATGCACGACGTTGAAGCCGAACGCAGCCGGATCAATCTCCTGGGCGGCGTCTCGGTGCCCGAGTAACAGAATACCTTGCTGGGTTGCTTGGTTGAACGACATAATGAGAAACAGCGCAAAAGGGACAGGACACAAAGTAGAAGGACACAGGACATACGCTATGAACCAAAGGTTTACTCTTACTTCCACGCGCGCACAGTGGCCCGCGCAAGCACAAACTCTTCTTTCTTTTTCAAAAGAGGTAAAAGTTAATAAAGAAAGAAACAGCGACAGTAGGAGGACGTTGCAAAACGCGTGATCAGAGGAAATATTTAAAAAAATTTAAAATTATGACAGCTACACGAGAAACCATTATTGGGGAACACTGGTCTTGGAGCTTTTTTTTTCTTATTTTATGACCAAACTCAATGAAACTGCATAAGCTTGTTCAGATTTTTGTGCTGTTTTAATATCTCTGGTAATTTCTTCATTCATTAGAATTGTCCTGAAGATAATTAAAACTTGCCTGCCTTTGTTTGGAGGAATGAGAGGGAAAAAACACAGGGTCATATACTACAAAGTGTGAAGAATACAATGTTGGAAGTACTTTTAAGATACACCCAATATTAGTGATTCTACAACATATTGAAGTTCAGTGCTCAATGCATGGGTAACAAGTAATAAACCAAAAGATCAAATAAAAAATGTTTAGACTCATATTAGAAAAGCTGTTATCAACATTGTATGCTTCACACATTTAGCAACACATTTCAAGAAAGGTTATATTTCTGACTGCTGTAGACGCTCAGATATCCCTCCTGCAAATTTTCAACGAGTCCAAAAATTGTGTTATGTGAAAACAATGTTTTAGAGTCAACTTTAATGCACATTCAGCCTGCATAGACATTATAAATTGAGTTATAACTCAAATATTCATCCACGAAATTAGAAACTTGGTAGATTTAAAAAAAACAAGAGCCATCGCCGTTTATAAAAAAAAATTCAGTTTTATGAAGTTTTTGGCTCCAAACACCCATGTCCTTCCTGAAGATTATGCGCTGCGTACGCTCCACATTCGCACCACACACTAAACATCATTACACCCCTCAAGGCGTAAATGGCTTGTCCTATAACTAACACCCTCATTGGTGTAGCAAAACGTCCTAAGAGAAGGGCGTTATTCCTAACGCCCCTAAATGAAGGCGCTATTCCGAACACCCTTAAATTAAGGTGTGATATCAGAGTACACCGTTTTATTAGGGTGTTATGACTGCCCAGTACACCCTCTGAATTGGGTGTACCACCGCCAGAAAGACAGGTAAAAGAAAAACGCAATGACCAACACTTATAAGATAGGGTGTAATAACCCAAAAGACTGAACAAAGAAATGACTGTGAATGACTCGAAACATGCCGGGTTCACTTTTTATTTTTCGATAAAGATTCTACTAAAGTCTGTTTAGACGATTGCAACCAGGTCATCTGGCCGCAGCCATTACTCTGCTTGTGCGGGCACGTGCGTGCAATTACAGGCTTACAAAAGGGCAAAACTACGTTCACGCGCACATCATCAAGCTTGGCGAAGGCAAGACTGAAAGAAATAGTTCCCCTTTATCCTCGCAATTTTACCACGGCCAAGACGCTTCTGGGTCAGTGGCAGTCCGTGCGAGTATACTTGGGCCAGACTAGGACCAGTACGCCTCTGTAAGGTCATGAACATTCCATCCGACCAAGCCCCTAGTTAAATCTCCAACTGTACTTTTCTTGCGACATTTATTCTTTCTAGCACTGGCGACGTAAGCAAAACTCCACAGGCTTGCAAAGACGGAACAAGCGGAAGTTACTTGGGAGGCAAGCGGCAGCTCATGTTTGAAAACAGTAAAATGGTCTATTGAGACAGACGCAGGACTACTATCAAAAGCATGCTTGCAAAGTACTTACAAATAAGAGAGCGACTTCATGTAATTCGTGAAAGATGCACAATCTGATTCGGGCAGCACTGAACAATTCGCAAACACAATGCCGGGTATGAAGGCGGCCGCTCACATTCAACGGAAGTCTCGCGGTCACCGATGAGCAGCTGTCTGTCGTGATAGATTCACAATCTGATTCGAGCAGCACGAAACAAGGCAAACACAATGTCGAGGATGAAAGCGGTCGGTTACATTGAACGGAAGTGTCGCGTCCGCCGATGAGCAGCTCTATGTCGAAACGCGTCCAACAAACACAGCACAATAATTCCATAGACTCCGATGAAATAAACGGCCAATAGATAAAAAAAGTTGGCATAGATGTATTCCGGCCGTTCACGACGGATAAGAACATTCGCGAAATGGAACTCGTCAGGACTCAGGACCCACTTGCACGAAAAACAGAACACTGACCGACGCTTTTTGGAAACCGGACTTCCGTGATCCCCACAACTCATTATAAACTGGCAAGCGGCGAAAGCTATGACCCCAGTGAGCCCATTAGCGCGTCAGAGTGAGTCGCGTGACAAATGTTCGTCCAAGCGTTTTCGTCCTACGGAGAGTGATCACGTGTTTTGCTCCACACCTCTGATTCGCTAGAAGTTGTCTTCGCACTCTCTCACAGCCACACGGACAGAAAAGAAAGTTGGGAAGCTTATCAGGAGAAAAGATCAAAGGGGGTGGGCAATGCTGCTAATCTCCCTCTGCTGCCTCCTGGACAGCACAGGGAGGGTTGCCTTGTGTGTGGGACCTTGAAGTTGTTGTTGTTCGAGTGGCGGTTCCCTTTCGAAAAGTGTGGAGCCGAGGAGTGGCTTATGTTGCCTGGGTAGAACTCGTTTATTGTCGTCTTGTTTATGCGTTTGAATTCCTTTTTTCCCTGTCCTTTTTTTTTTCCTCAAAGTGTTTGGAAGTGTATTTATTGGTTCAGTCAGTCGAGTTTGTGCTACCCGAAATAAGGGCGCCTCAGTTTGTTCCAAGCTACAGCTCAGTTAAAAAAATGATTAAGCAAAACGTAATTTGGTCGCTTTTTGCCCGAGAAAGACTTCTCGCGCTAAAAGCAGCAGATTCCATTTCGCTTAATCTTTTTTTGTAACGTCGTATTTTAGGCGGTAAAGAAATAGAAATACCTCTCCGGCATAGCCGAGTCCCGCAGGATACTCTCAACACTCAACTAAAAACGGCGTCGCGTACGTTATGTCAGGATATCACCGGCGCGACTCATCCCATTCGTTAAATATCGGCTAAACCAAAATGGTGCGGGCACAATCTTTTCGATTAGATCCAATATCGGCGACATACGGTGTGTTGCCTGGGCTGTATATTTACACGTCTTCGGTCACGTTTTGCGAGCGGAGGGGATTTTTTTTTTTAAATTGAAGTTGAACTGATAAAACGGATGCACGCGCGACACGCAATTTCCGGCTCCTGTCGGACGGAGAGTTCGATCGGAGTTGCCAAAATATTCTCTAGCACTTCCTAATCATACGCGCCTTCGTGTGACGATTAATTATATTCGATGTTTGTACCGCCGTACATCAGCAACCGCTTCGCCAAAGCAATAAACATGAACGGTTATGAAATCATGTGTGTATTCGACAGTATCAACATTACGCCCCTCTCACACCGTGTGAATGAAGGGCGTAAAAGTCGCTCATGCACCCTTTTTACATGATTTCAGACACCATCGCTACAAGTGACCCGTACAAAGGGCGTGTAAGGGGTGTAAGACACACCCTTTTAACACCCACTGATATCCAGAAATCGTGTAAAAGGGTGTGTTTCCTAACGTACACCCTTTTTACTCCCTCTTTACACGATTATGGGTGTTACGATGTTTAGTGTGCACGTGCACACCGCGTTCAGGACACAAATTAGACCTTTAAAAATTGAGTGTACAGTATACTAAGGGCGGTCACAATTGAGAAATTGTAATTCCCTGTTGGTCAGATGCACTGACACGACACTAATACAGTGGTCTGGTCCACAGGCAAGTATACGCGCCGCTTCCATAATCTCTCTCCAACTTGCCCCTCATGCGTCCCACCAGGAAGCGACGATGAAAATTTAGGAGGCTTAGGAATTCGCGCAGTTTCTTGAGAGATGGTTGAGGAAACTCTCGAATTACCGTAGCTTGTGCATCCAAGTGCTTGATTCCTTACGGTGGCACTAAATGTCCCAAGAATTCGATGGCCAGCACGCCGAACGTGAATTTGTTTGGGTTGATGACTAACACGTAGTCATCGAACAGGGTGAAAGGAGCGCGCAGGTGTTCTTCGTGCTCGGGCTGTAAGGTGCTGGTGACCAAAAGATTGTCGAGGTAAGCGAAGACGAAGTCTAGACCTCGAGTAATCTCGTTGATGGTACGTAAAAATGTCTGTACGGCATTCCGCAAACCGAACGGCATCTTCACATACTTAAAGAGGCCAATTGGTGTGGTGATGGCGGTCTTTGGTATGTCGGCAGGCTCCACCGGATTCCGGTGGTATGCCTTCACCAAGTTGATCTTAGAGAATATCTGGCAGCCAGCCAGAATCGGGCTAAAATCCTGTATGTGAGGAAGCGGGTAGCGGTCAGGCTGGGTCTTGGCGTTAAGGGCGCGGTAATCGCCACATGGTCTCCAGTCGCCTGGGTCTCTCTTGGCGACCTTATACAGTGGGGAGGCCCAGTCGCACGATGATGGACAAACAATACCAAATTCGAGCACATACTCAAACTCACGACGAGCAATGGCCAGGCGTTCTCCAGACTGGCGCCTGGGACGAGCGAAAGCAAGGGATCCAGAGGTGGCAACGTGGTGCGTGATGGTGTGCTTCACCGGCGACTGTCTGGGTTGTGGCCTTTTGATCTTTGGAAAATTTGGAAGAATTTACTAATAGGCCGATGATGATGAAAATGCTCGAAATCTTGTTGCCGTGGTCGTGGATAGTACGCTGTTCACGGAGAGGTGTGTCGTCTGGTCACTGAGGCGTCGTGAATAGATGTCGAGGGCCAGCTTGTAGAAACTGAGGAAGTCCGCTCCCAGGATGGCCTGCTTAATGTCGGCAACGATGAAGAGCCATCGGAATGTGCGCCGCAGTCCAAGGTTTATTGTGAGGGACCGCTGACCATAGGTGGCGATGGGCGAGTTGTTGATCACCTGGAGCGGAGAGGTTTTTTGTTTGCGTTGTCGGTCTGAAATAGGGGCCGGTAGAACGCTGACCTCTGCTCCCGTGTCGACCAACGTGCGATTGCCATCCACCTTGTCAACTACATAAGAGAGGCGGCTTTCCTGTCGACTGTGTGGGCGCTCGGCCCGTCACCCCGCGCCCATCCGGCCAACGACGCGCCACCGCCCTGGGGGGCGGCTCCTCGGCTCAGCGGACAAGACATAAGCGCGTGCGGCAGCAAGCAGGAGGACTGTTCGGTTCGCCCAGCTGTCAAGCGTACTGGCCGATGGTAATAAAACTCAGTTTGTAAAAAGGACGAGCCGTCTGGTCGATCTCCCGCGGCGGACGACGGAAGTCGAACGCCACACCTGGCGCCCAACGGGGATTCCTTCGTCCGTCGTCGGGGGATCGTCCGGGCCACACGGTTCGTACTGTTTTCCTATTTTGTATTTGTCGCGCGAGTGTCTCTTCTTTTCCCTGTATTTTCTTATCTTCTTTGTGCCCGGCGAGTACAGTGTTCGCGGTTCGCACGTCGCTGACGGAGCGGTTTTTGTCGTGAATTCTTCTACTCTACGTTTTTTAGAGCGCAGCTCTTAGGGGCCCGTTTCCGGCTTGAGCGGCGTCGGCGTCGCCGTTAGCGTCGCCGTCGCCGTCGGCGTCGGCGTAACCGCGCGGTGCATCATGGGAAATGTCCCATAATGCACCGCGCGAGCCCCCCACCGGGGTCACGTGACCTCGTGGGGGGGCACGTGACCCCCTCGAGGTCACGTGACCCCGGTGCATCATGGGAAATGTCCCATAATGCACCGCGCGAGCCCCCCACCGGGGTCACGTGTCCCCCACGAGGTCACGTGACCCCCAAAGTCACGTGACTCCCCTGAGGTCACGTGACCCCCGCCGATGTCGCGTGACCCCCAATGACGTCATCGTCACTGATGACGTCACCGGCATCCACATCGTCATCCTCATCATCACTGATGACGTCACCGGCATCCACATCGTCATCGTCATCATCACTGATGACGTCACCGGCATCCACATCGTCATCATCATCATCACCGATGACGTCACCGGCATCCGCATCGTCATCGTCATCATCACTGATGACGTTACCGACATCCGCATCGTCATCGTCATCATCACTGATGACGTCATCAGTGATGTCACTGATGTCGTCACCGGCATCCACATCGTCATCGTCACTGATGACGTCCCCGGCATCCGCATCGTCATCGTCATCATCACTGATGACGTCACCGGCATCCGCATCGTCATCGTCATCATCACTGATGACGTTACCGACATCCGCATCGTCATCGTCATCATCACTGATGACGTCATCAGCGACGTCACTGATGACGTCACCGACATTCGCATCGTCATCGTCATCATCACTGGTGAAGTCATCAGTGACGTCCCTAATGACGTCATCGGTACCCGCATCGTGATCGTCAACGATGACGTCATCAGTGACCTCAGTGATGACATCATCGACATTGGGGGTCACGTGACCCCCCAAGGTCAAGTGACCCCCCCTGGTTAGTTTAGCCCCCCCCCCAGTGCCCTTCCCTCCTCCTCCTCAAGAGCTGCGCTCTAATTCGGCGTTACAGGGAGTTGTAAGCAGCTTTCACTTTTTTCTTCCCCTTTTCGCGTTCGCGTCCTTTTCTTTTTTCTCTTGCCGTGTTTCTTTTTCTTTTTCCTTGAACATGCCACCCAAGAAGCAGCCCCCGGACCGGCCCGCGGATGGCGACTACAGCGAAAGCGACGTGGAGCTCGGCCCGTCCACCGCGGACGTCCTGGCGCTGATGCAGCAGATGTCCGCCATCCTCACGCTGGTGACAGAGCGCCTGGCAGCCGGCACGGGCGGGACCGGCGGCCAGCAACCGCGTGAGCCTGAGCTTCATCCACGACTCACGATTCCCGTCTACACGGGTTTCGACGACCGGAAGTCTGTCGCCGACTTCCTTGGAGAGCTGGACGTCTACGCCCGGGCGTCCGGCTCCTCGGAGCGCCACGTCCTCGAGAGGATCCTCCCCATGGCCCTACAGGCGAGCGCGAGACGTTGGTGGGTGCAGCAACCCGCTTTTCCTTCCCTCGCAGCCTTCACCTCCGCCTTCCGCGAAGAATTCCTGCCAGCAGGGTACGCGGTCAGGGTCCAGCGTGAGCTCGAGCGTCGCACTGAGCACCCAGAAGAAAGCCTCGTTGAGTATATCCGGGCTATGCAAGAGCTGTACAACAGAGCCGCGAAAGCTGCTCCTGAGTCGGAGAGGGTCGCACGCATCATCCGCCAATGCCACCCCCGTTTCCACGTGTATCTGCATGGACGCACCTTTACCGACGTGGAAGACCTCGTACGCGCGGCGCGCGGCGTCCAGGAGTTGCTCCTGGCCAGCGACGAGTACAAGCCGCCGCCTCCAGCGGAAGACGCCCTCGAACCCTCCTGCGCATGGGTTCCTCCCGCACAGCAACGCAGCGTCCACGTCCGTGCCCCTCCGACTCGGCGCCCGCCTGAAAGGGACGGCGCCTTCGCCTCCGACGAGAACCCCGATGCCTACGCATCGGGCGGGGTTAGCGACAGCTTAAATTCCCGACCGAGGGAAGCCCCAGGCGCCTGGGACTGGTTCCCCCAGGGCCCGCACATGGGTGGAAGCCCGCCGCGGGTGCCGCAAAACCCCGAAAGGGGCCGGCTGCAGTTCCGTGACGGCGAAAGCGGCTGCACGAACCCCTGCAAGATCTCCAGATGGCCGGAAGGCCCCAGCGGCAGCCGAGAGGCGGCTGGCATCGTGGGAATGATCCGGCGGAGCCGAGAGGCAGCCGGCGACGGGGAAGTGAACGGGGCAACGTGGGAACCCAGCGGCAGAACGACTCCTGCTACAACTGCGGACAGCGTGGCCACTTCCGCAGCCAGTGCCCACAACGGCGGTCCCGTGAGCAGCGAGAGCTGCCTAACCAGGGAAACCAACGAGGCCCGCGGCGCTGAACCCGGATATCTCGCCGCCAAGGCCCGCTACCAGCCCCGGGAAATGTGAGACGCCAGCACTCCTTCCTTCTGTATGTCGAGTTCGACCTACACACCATAGTATCGAGCCACGCATGACAGTTTCTTTACTCGGCGTGCCTTTTGCCGCGCTTCTTGATACCGGCGCGGGAGTTTCGCTTATCGGCGACGTAGTTCTTGAACTCTGCAAATCGAGGAAGGTTAAGCTCCGTTGTTCGAGCACGCTTTTGCAGTTAGCGTCAGGCGCGCCAACAAAAGCAGCAGGCGCAGTAAGGCTGAGGATTTCCTTCGACCGAAAAACGCGGCGTCAGCGTTTTCTTTATCTGCCAGCTCTCTCCGTACCGATTATCTTGGGCCGAGATTTCATTGCAGGCGAAAAAATTTCCCTCGACTACGCTGCCGGCGGATATCGGCTCGGCGACCAGCCACACGTGACCCCCTTCACCAAACGTGAAGACTGCGTCACCGGCGCAACCCTTCCGGCCCACTACACAGCGCGGCCAGCTGCAGTTCTTCCTGACGGCATCCGAGACTCCCTCAACGCGTGCCCAGCAACCAGCTCGCAAAAGCAGCAACTCGAGAGCATCCTGCAGCCCTTCGCATCGATGTTTACGGAAACCCCGGGCAAGACCGACGTGTTGCTGCACCGCATCGAGACTGGTGACGCCCGACCATTGCGGTGCAACCCTAGGCCCCTCAGCGTCCACAAGCGAGCCCTACTAGACGCAGCACTACAGGAGATGCTGGATACCGGAGCAGTGCGAGAGTCCCAGAGTCCGTGGGCCTCTCCCGTCGTCTTGGCTCCGAAGAAAGACGGCTCGGTACGACTTTGCGTGGATTATCGCCGCCTCAACGCAGTGACGGTGAGAGATTCGTACCCGTTTCCTTCCATCGACTCGGTTATGTACGCGATTGGCAACGCGAAAGTGTTCACCACTTTGGACTGCAGTCGAGGTTTTTTGCAAATTGAGATTGATCCAGAGGACGTGCCAAAGACTGCGTTCACTTGCCACAGAGGATTGTTTGAATTTACCCGCCTCCCCTTTGGCCTTTCCAATTCACCCGCTAGCTTCCAGCGCTTAATAGATATCGTTCTCGGCGACACAAAATATAAATTCGCCATGGCATACATGGATGACATCGTTATTTTTTCCCAGACTTTCGAGGAACACCTGCAGCATCTTGGGATCGTCCTCGAGCGCCTGCGCAACGCCGGCCTGACGATTCACCCTGACAAGGCGCAGCTCGCTTCACCACACATTAACCTCCTTGGTTTTGTAGTGGACAATGGAGTTCTTCGCCCCAACGAGGACAAGCTGCGTGCAATAACAGAATATCCGCAGCCACACGACGTCAAGAGTTTGCAGCGGTTTCTTGGATTAATTGGATTTTATCGCCAGTTCATCCCTCGCTGCGCCGAGATTGCTAACCCCCTGACCTCGCTCTTGCGCAAAGGCGAAAAATGGCTGTGGGGGGAGGATCAGCGCGTCGCTTTCCTTCAGCTTTCGAAAGCAATCACCGACGTCGCCTCTTTGCAGTTGCCGGATCTCAACCGACAATTTGTCGTCCAAACAGATGCCAGCATCTCCGGCCTGGGCGCAGTCCTCCTTCAGGAACACGACAACGTTCTTCGCCCAGTCGCCTTCGCTAGCCGCACGCTGACAGCGGCCGAGCGAAACTACTCCGTGACGGAAAAGGAGTGTCTCGCCATCATCTTCGCCCTCAAGAAGTTTAACATGTATCTCGATGGCGCTTCCTTTCAGATACAGACGGATCACCAAGCGCTCTCCTGGCTGAAGAATTTGCAGAATCCAGCCGGACGTCTTGCACGATGGGCTCTGACACTGCAAGCGTACGACTACACTATCGCCTACAGGAAAGGAGCAACTAATATTGTGGCAGACGCACTGTCACGGGCTCCTTTGCAGGTCCCTCCCACTGAGACGGAACCAAAGTTGGTGGGATTAACCGACATCGTGGCCCGCACTTCGGAGTCACGGTGGGGGACGTTGGTGAGCAGAGCAGACCTCCGCAAGGCCCAGCAGGAAGATGGACTTTGTCGACGCATGTGCGAGAGGCTTGCGGCACGAAGAGCAAGCGACACCGGAAGCGACGACGAGTACGACACGTACCTGCTGAGCGAGGACGGACTTCTTCTCCGCTACATCCCCCAGGCAGACGACGACACCGACGGATCGCCTTTCCGTATCGTGATACCTCGGAAGCTGCGCAAGGCATTCATCAGGTACTTCCATGATTCAGCATTAGCGGGTCACAGCAGCGGCAGTAAGACTTACGATAAGTTATGTCGTGTTGCGACTTGGCCAGGAATCAGGCAGGATGTACTGAAGTATGCTCGCAGTTGTCCAGTGTGTCAAAAGGCGAAACCTCGCGGAGGCCAACCACCAGGATTAATGCAGCCAGTCGTTAGCCAGTCGCCTTGGCAGATTGTTGCATGTGATGTCATGGGACCGTTTCCACGTAGTCCTCGCGGAAATCAGTACCTACTTGTTGTGACTGACCACTTCACCAAGTGGGTCGAACTGTTCCCCTTACGGAAACTTCTTTCGCAGCGGATCTGGGACTGCCTTCTGTCCGTTTTCACCAGATTCGGCTTTCCTGCAGAGCTCATCACGGACGGTGCTTCGTACTTTCGAAGCAAGATTTTCGTCGACACCTGCACTGCGCTTGGAATACGGCACAAGCTGACTTCGCCGTATCATCCGCAAGCCAACATCACGGAGAGGATCAACCGCAACCTCAAAATGATGTTGATTTCCCACACAGCCCGTCACAAGGACTGGGATGCCAAGCTCGACGAGATGGCATTTGCAACGCGCACCACGGTCAACCGATCCACTGGTTTCACCCCTGCTCGTCTCAACTTTGGTAAGGAGCTAACCTTCCCAATAGAAAATTCATTTTTGTACACAGATGTTGCGCAGAATGGACGCCCATACGCGCAGTTCGCCCAGGACGTCCATCACCGACTCTCGTCGGCCGTTCGTGAAGCACGAGAGAACCTCGACGTCGCTCGTCTTCAACAGGCCGCCCAGTACGACAAGGGCCGCCGCAACGTCCACTTTCAGGTTGGAGACCTGGTACTTCGTCGGACACATCCCCTCAGCGACGCGTCGAAAGGCTTCGCCGCATCCCTCGCCAACCGTTGGGATGGACCCTTTCGTGTAACGGAAGAAGCCTCTCCGTTGAGCTACCGCCTAGCACGTCTGCATGGTACACAGCAGTACGGGCCAATTCACGTGTCTGAGCTCAAGCGTTACTGCGAGCCAGCAATTCTTCCGCAGGTCCCGGACAATCCAGCCCCCAGCCAGCCCTTGGATCACGGAACCCCACCCAGGCGGTACAACCTGCGACGGCGATGATTTAACATCCGCTGGATGACCATATCCTTTTTCGCTGGCTGTACTCCTCTTCGCGGAGAGGGAGGGAGAGACGACCTCTCCTTCCCGCGGGTCTGCCTTTTGTTTTTCAAAAGGGTTGTCTGATTTCGCGAGTACCTCCGAACTCAGTCTTATATCAGACCCGTAATCTTCTCCCTTCGTGTTTTCTTTTGTCATGCCGTCTGTCCAGATGGAATCCTCCCGCACCTACGACCGCCGTTATGGCACCCGATTCTCGGCCCGCCACCCGAGCTTTTCCCGTGGCCGTCGTGACTACCCCCGCACTGCCAGCGTGGCCACGTGGACGGTCCTGGTCGAAGAGCGTCCCGTGGCCTACGCCTCCAGGCTGCGTTGGCGCGAGCAGCCGCGCCCGGAACGCGGTGCCCCACCAGAGTCCGTTCCTGAGCCGTTCCGGGGGAACACCCTGGAAGTCCGCCACCCGGTGGAACCCCCCGCCATCTACAGTGATGCCGAACGCCGGCTCCTCTGCCCCCTCTGCGGCGTCCCAGAGATCCACCGGGCCACACACCTCGCCGGGGCCCTTCATCAGTCTCGGCTCGCCGCCGAGTGGGCCCACCGTGCTGTCCAAGCTGCGCATCGTGCTGACGCCCGCCCGTTGGAGGTAGCAGAGGCCCTCCGCGTGCTTCGTCAGGCCCGGCCTGACCTCTTGCGAGACCCTGCGGCCCCGGAGGACGCCATCCTAGACATGGACCTTTGAAGGGGGGGGAGATGTGGGCGCTCGGCCCGCCACCCCGCGCCCATCCGGCCAACGACGCGCCACCGCCCTGGGGGGCGGCTCCTCGGCTCAGCGGACAAGATATAAGCGCGTGCGGCAGCAAGCAGGAGGACTGTTCGGTTCGCCCAGCCGTCAAGCGTACTGGCCGATGGTAATAAAACTCAGTTTGTAAAAAGGACGAGCCGTCTGGTCGATCTCCCGCGGCGGACGACGGAAGTCGAACGCCACAACTGGTATCACTTGCCGCCGTCAATACCCGGTCTTTATAGTTTCCCGCTGAAGAGCAGGGTTGGGGCTGCACTTGGCGGGCAGCGTTGTTGAAATTACGGTGGCACCAACGCATGTCCGAGCCCGAGTTCACTCGACTGCTGCTGGAGAAGGTGGAGCGCTCTTTGGATGTTGAGTGGGAGCGCAGGCGTCGGCGGGAGTGTGACCGTTATTGACGACGTCGTGACAAGGGTGCGAGGGTGGCAAGCTGACAACTCATGGTCTCGACATAGTCCTCAAGACGAGACAGACTGGAATCTTCCGAAGTTGCTTTGGGTGTTTGGTTAGTGGCAGCCCTGATGCCGGGGCTTCGCGAGTAGTCGGCGACACGGTCGGCAAGCTCAGCGAGTCTCTCTAGCGACATGTTTTCCGCAGCCGCTAGAACCGGGAGCATGGACAATGGGAGAGGTTGCAAAAATAACGCACGCTGGAGGTGGTTGTTGGGGTCCGGGTTCTGGGCTCCCAGCAGCTGACGCATGCGATGGAGAAGCTGGGATGGGCGTCTGTCACCGAGCTCCTCAGTTTTGAGGAGTTGCTGAAGTCTGCTGCGCTACGTCTCGGTCTTGCAGTCAAAGATGGCGGCCTTCAGTTGGTCGAAGGGGTTGAACGGATCTGGAGTGGCGAGAATGTCGGCTAGCTCTTCGGTGACGTCATCTAATGAGGAGGAACGGTGTCCAGGCATCGCGTCTCCTGACTGGCGAGGCGCCGGAAACGGAACTGGGCTTCGACTTGCATCAGTCACACGGTCGAATTTTCGGCCAAAAAGGCAGACTTGGACGTAGTTCAACTACTCTACTCAAACCAATGTAGTTTAACTACTTTTCCGAGTAACTTGGTAACTTTCAATTATAACTTGATTTGGGTAATTAGCAGTTTAATTTAACTACTTTTTTCAGGTAAATTCTACTTAACTTACTAACTACTTTTGAAATCTAGTGCTAATTCTTCTCATCACGAAAGTTTAAGCGCAGAAATAAATAAGGCGCCGGCAGATGAAGTGGCATTCCTGAACAAGGGGCCCCTCACATTCCGTTCCCACGCATTTATACTCGGCAGCCGTAGAAACTGCCTCACAGGCGTCGTTGGGCCAAGGTGGCGACGAGCAGCCAAAACATAACACCGGCGCGCAAGAAAGCAGAAAGAGATGCTTAACAAGCCCTGGACGGGTATTGACCTAATCCGGTAATGCACACCGGCGCCCCGCCTCCAGCTGCAACCATGAAAGACGCGGACACTCCGAGGGTTGTTGTTGTTTTCATGTTGCCTGCCTTTAGTGAGTTCTCCCTCAAGCGGTTTGGAGATTCCACGGTAGGCGCCACTAAAATGACCTCGCAGCTGGGCGCCTGTTCCCATGGTCGCCTCGTCGTCAGTGCATACGCCTTTGCAAAGCCGGACTCCCCAACGCACAAACCCAGGCACGGATAATCCGTGCATGGGAGCACGTTCCCGCTTCCAGCTGCAACTGTGCGAGCGACGATGCATGGTCACGTAATCCTTCGCGTCCTTCCGACCTTCCATGCCAGGGAGGCCTCCTCTTTGTTGAAAACGATTTACTTGTCGGGCGTGTCAGGCGCGTCAGGATACCATAGTCGCCGGCGATGATTGTGAGTTGCCCTTGGGAGATACTTTTGTTGGACCCGGCGTCAGCGGCGAAGTATACTTCGGTTCATCTTCTGTTAAACCAAAGCATTTTTTTTCAGTAGCGTAGCACTAGCATTACAACAAGACGTGCAGTCGTCCAGATGATCTCATCGTCGTGGCGCAAGACTTGAACCATTGACGGTCAGGTGCACTCGCTCAGCGTACTCTCAGAACGTCGAAGGAATAAAGAGGGGCCATACCATAACAATAATAAGTCGTAACAATCTCCACTTGCCGAAAAAAAGAAAAAAAAGGAGGAGAGTTTGTTATAAAAGACCCCCTAGCCGAGGTAAACCTCACATGTTTCGTCATGGACACCGAGATGCCGGAACTCGCTTACCCGACCCTGCAGAGCCTGTTTCTCAAATTCGACGGTGCCATCCCATGCAGCGCGTCGGTGGAACGTCTTTTTAGCTTGACTGGGGACGTCTTTATGAGGAAAAGTGGAAAATTCTCCTATCAAGAACTTTGAAAGTGAATTGCGTCGGCGAGCGAATGAACTATTTTGGTGAAAACGTAAGCCCTAAAATAACTGCATTTATTTTAGGTTCGCACGGTTTTTCACGGATCAAAACTGCTCTTCATTTTGCTACCACAAAAATATAAGGAATTAACTTCGAAGGTGACTTCAAAGCAACTCGCTACTTTTTCCAGTAGTTAGTAGTTTACTCCATTACTATTACAAATGCGTAATTTCTACTCTACTCCAATTACTTTTGGCGTCAATACTCAGTAACTTGACTACCTTTTTTGAGTAATTTGTACATGTCTGCAAAAAGGTGGCAGCCAAAAATTATGGACGGTTGCCAAGGGTGACTGGAGGGCGTCACCGTCAGGGGCATTGGACGTGCCGGAATGAGCCATGGAGCAGCAGACTTTGAAGGAACGAGTTTGATTCCGGAGTAAGCAAATCTGTTGGAGCTGGGACGAAATGAACCAGCTCCGACAGCGTTTGGACCCGAGCTGTGGAGGCATCTCTATCTCGCCGTCATCGTCTGGGTGACATGAGCAGGCCGTGAGTGTCGCGACAATGCTTTCCTTATTCATTTCCCCAAATATGTCAAAATATATTCGAAGTAAAGCTTTTTATGCTAGGCTACACACAAAAAAAAAGACTTTGGTAAATGTGTTTCTGGGAGTTAATGCGATATCCTCATCGAAGTTGAGTCCTCACGTGCCTTTTCCCCACGTTCCAATTGGTTCACCGAGGCCAGAGCTTCAACGTTTTACCATGTCACGCCGAAACCGCCGAAACTCGATTGTTGAAGTTCTTGCGTTCAGAGCCGGTGCTGCGATGGACGGTCCCAGGAGACGTCGGCCGCATAAAGAACGCATGAGTCGAGTGCAACGAACCTTACCTCCGCGACGAGAAGCGAAAGGCTTCAAGCTTCCTCGTTTTTTTGTTTTTTTGTTTTTTCTTTTTCTGTTAGCCGGAAAAAAATTAGCTTTTCTTTTTCGTTCGGAAATGTTTCAGTTTTGATAACTGCAGAATTTGAGTCCGATTTATTGAGTGGAAACTGCATAATAAACGCGATGTTAGATTGCCTTACGATTGTAATTATAATTTATTTTCGAAATATATTTTATAGTGTCAGGAATGAAAATTGATGGGGCGACGAAACTGAAGCAAACTCAACGTTTAATGGGGCGAACTTGTGCCCGAAGCAAAGTATATAAAGGATAGCGTCGCAGGCGTCGATGGCGGCGAAACAGCATGGTCGAACGCTGGGGCCAAACTGACTCCGGCTCTCGACGCGAAGCCCCGTTGTGTAGACGCGTGGGCTTCTGGAACAATCGGCGTAGAGCTTTCAGCGCGTCGAACATTCGGCGCGTAGAACATTCGGCGCGTATAACATTTGGAAGTCAATGAGAGGACAATGTTCTCCAACTTACTAGAACGCCAAGTTGAAAGAGTAAAAAAAAGTTGGGGCTCTAATCTACGCTTTGAAGGTGGGTGGTCAGCAAAGCTGTGGTATCACCTGCAATGATTGCCTACTGCACTATACAAAATGCCACCACCGGTCGCAGCACGCCGCCGCTGGTCGTATTGCCGTTTCTTTTCGCTTTGGCGCTCCTAGTAATCACGCTGCTCCTCGGGATTCCTAACTATGCGTGGCCTATTCATCGCGGTGCTGCAGCAACAATGAAATCAGTTGCTATACTCCGTTTCATCTTACGTTTAAGCACAGCGGTTGTTAGGAGCCATCGAAGCCAATTGGAGGCCGTGTGAATGTCACGTGACTCTAGAGAGGGGGCACAGCGACGCGCGGAAAGCGTATCACGGGTCACGTCCACGGAACGGGATTGGCTAAGATTGCTCGTAGCATCCGCTGCGTCCGGACGTAAGGTGACACGGGGTATTAGGCGGGTTCTTCCCATATATATGAAACGGTAGTGACGTCACTCGCCACGTCGTAAGCTGCCGTCGCCGCGGCCGCTTGGGCATCAGTAATCGTCATAGGGAACGTATGCGGTGAGCGCTACGGGCTTCGCGTTGGGTTCAGGAGCTCCTTATCATTCGTTATATGGTTAGGATGCGTGGTGTTTGTACTTTTCGTTTCAATCTTCTGAAGTCTTTTTTCCGTGAGAACGCCGACACGAAAACACACGCGGGGAGAAGGAACGTGCTTCGCATTTTTTTGGAGGCGCCGTTATCATGAATGTGCGGTTTCCACTTCACACGAGCGATTCAAATGACATCAACCCCTTTCGAAGCAGCTGTAAACCTAATCTTTACCGGAATGCGTGGGAGGGTGTTCCTATTGCTCACATGCGCCTTATCACCCATCATGTGGTTTTGATGCTTGATGGTTTTCTTTATTGAAACGGATACTGAGCTGGTATGCTGTATGCCTGATTTCAAAGGAGATATGCTGTTTTGCCTTCAGTTGTTCGCCGGGAGTTTTTTGCTATCAACGCCAACGACACGAAAATTTCCTTGGCTGGTAGAGGCCTACCGCTTCGCTGCAATAAAAAAACATTCCCCTGACTGCAATCGAACCTAGAACTTCCGCGTGATAGTCCAGCGAGGTAACCATTAGGCCGCGGAAGCGCTCGTTCGGCGGCGCACGTGGCATTACTTCTCTTTTTAAAAAGAGCATCGCCCCTATGCAACTTAACGGGAAATGAATCAGAAAAACAAACCAAAATAATAGCAAACTACGGAGGCTTGTACAACACAGTCCTCTCGAGCTTAGAACAAATACCCACTAAAAAGTTCAGCCTTTCAACTCTGGTGAAAAAGGAAGACCAGCGAGGCTGTACTATAGTGGGAACGAATTAATGGCCGGCGGCAAGTCGGCAACCGAGAGTGGAA